AGATTTTATTATCATGGAGTGCCTTGTTTATCTCTCAGTATCAGTACCTCCAACCATAGCCTTCACCCTTTTATCCTCAGGATCAGTGTAGCTGTTGGAACGAGGTGTCGGACTCAGCAATGTGTTTGTTTACATGTTAATACATGTTTATTGTTCCTCCTTTGCTGTGTTGTTTTAGAAAATCGTGGACTAACAGTTTGAAGTCATTGAACTACTTCCAAAAGTTGTATCGACATCAACAGGATTACGATTTCAGTGCAATATGATGCTGGATGACCTTATCACGATTACCCATGATTATAAACCATTATAAACACGGAATCAACAAAAACATCTGCGACACGCACCTGGCGCATATATACATTTCTCAAATAAATCTGATCGAGGGTGGGGAAATCTGAAATATCTGAAAGGCAAGACAAATTTATGACAGAGTCATGAAATTCTGCAACAGCAACATGCACAGAATGACCTCCGTATAAAAAAGTATCACCACTACTCACATGTTTCCCTGCAGAAGAACATGCATTATGCTAGTGCCATTTTCTGCAAGAAAAGGCTTGCACATCAATGCGTATAATACGGTATTGATATGATCAAGAGTACATAAACCTCTTGATATAGGGCATTCCATCGATTGGTGACAGAAAAAAACAAAAGAAATTATAGCAATAGAAACTGCTTTATGGCAGTTTTCTAAAAAAAGTTATTGTGTTCTAGTCCATGGACCCCGTCTAAAAAGTAAGAAATTAACGAAATGTGATACAGGTCGTCCCTCGTTAATACATAATCTCTGGGACTTGACAAATGTTATGTATTAACGGGGCTTATGTACTAAACGAAAGTGTACATAACTTGCTTGTATACCAGAATTTTTCACTTTTTTCAACTTTTCTGAGTGTTTCTTGCTACCATGACTAGGCAGCGAGATATTCTTGATTCCCTCGATATAACATAAAAATTATGTTATAACGGTCACATTTAGCGAAGATTCTACAGTTGACATGGTACATGCCCAGCCGCACCTGTACAGTCACTCGGCAAAAAAACAGAGCTTTGTCGGTTTGTGATGTGCGCTCTGATTTCTATGCCTATTGCGTCCACAAGTAGAAACTACACGATGTGCCTCCACTGCATACTGGAAGTCCAAAAGATCAGTAAAATTATGTACTATTGAGGTAGGTGACATGCGGGTACGGAGAAATGTTATGTACTAACGGGGTTTATGTACTAACGGATTATATACTAACCGACAAAATTTGTATGGAAGTGACCACGTTTCGTCCGGGACTTGAGATTTCTTATGTACTAACGGGGTTTATGTACTAACCGGACTCGTATTAACGGGGGACGACCTGTAGCTGAAAATTAAAATTGCACACAAAACCTCACAATAATCACACACCGAATTAAAAGCTACATGTAGAAGACCTTTTTCCCTCGTGATCCTCTTTCCTATGCATGCATGTTGCCAATTGTTGGTGCAGTACAAGTTATAGTTGAAAGCAGCATTTCAAGTGTTGTGATTATTGTGAGGTTTTGTGTGAAATTTTAATTTTCAGCTATCACATTTCGTTAATTTCTTACTTTTTAGACGGGGTCCATGGACTAGAACACAATAACTTTTTTTAGAAAACTGCCATAAAGCAGTTTTTATTGCTATAATGAACTCTTGATACCGGTATGTGTGGGTCTACGAGGGTACTGACTACTGTGTCACAGTGCAGTGTGTGTGTAGCCGTGTATCACTGTATGGTGTTGGCTCAAAATGATCCGCTGTAGCACCTACTCCACTTTTATGTTTATGTATCTATGTCATTCGGATCTTCCCAAGTATTAGTTGTACAATGTACTGTTGAGATACCGCCAAGCCAGCTGAGTGGGTCTTTTTATTTTTTTCGCGCGAAAGTTTATGTGGTGAACTGTGTTGGTAAAGATGAAGATGTCAGTAAATGAAATTTGCTATATTTCTTGTGTCTAACCAACCCTGTACGGATCGAACTGACGATTCCCGAGTGTGACAAATGTCCTGAAGTCTGCTCCTATTAGCTAGGTATCTAGAAATTTCAACTTGAGTGTCAAGTGAAGACTTTGCCAGTTGCAGACGAGGGAATTCTCGCTTCACGATTTTCCTGGTGTGTGGAGATACGTCGGAATGCCGACCCACCACACCCGACATGATGCTTCGGCCGGAATGCAGGTTGGTGCAGATACTTGCCTAATAATATATGTCTAAGCGTGTATACCTTTCCTTTCGTTGCATGCTTGGTTAATCCGACGGCACGAAATTATAGACATTTCGAAATTAACTTGAATATTATTTGGTCGTTGTATGTCTTAGTATTCCCTGTCAGTTTGTGCCTTTTTGTCGCGCTCGCCGACTGTATATGATCTAGCGACATTGGTACATGGTGGACAGTTAGTCATAACTCGTAACATTTTGTCCTTATTCTTTTTATCCATGATTACATTGGCTCACCCTCCGAGTTTATTTATATATTTTTGATAGGGCAATATGTAATGTACACACACACACACACACACACACACACACACACACACACACACACACACACACACACACACACACACACACACACACACACACACACACACACACACACACACACACACACACACACACACACACACACACACACACACACACACACACACACACACACACACACACACACACACACACACATATACACACACACACACACACACACACACACACACACACACACACACACATACACACACACACACATACACACACACACATACACACACACACACACACACACACACACACACACACACATACATACACACACCACCCACACACACCACCACACACACCACCACACACACAGTGACACACACACCACACGCACACACCATCACATTACGACAAAATCAAGGCAATGCCGGCGAAGCTCTATAATTTTCTTGTGCCGCGTGCTAGGAGCATAATGGCATTGCCCGATAATAGCACTTGGTGTAAATGGGTTCCCATTATCACACACACATACACACACACACACACACACCACACACACACACACGCACACACCATCACATTACGACAAAATCAAGGCAATGCTGGCGAAGCTCTATAATTTTCTTGTGCCGCGTGCTAGGAGCATAATGGCATTGTCCGATAATAGCACTTGGTGTAAATGGGTTCCCATATTTGTGAAGTACATGTATTATTCGGTTGCTGGCTATCAATTGTGCTGTGAGCATGGCAGAGTGAGGTCTTCCAACTTTGTTGGTGTTTGCTCTATCTTGTGTTTACGCTCTGCAGAAAGGATCATATGTAGTGCCTTCTCAGCATTACATTACATCCATTGCGTAGCAGCAATGTGCCATCCTTCCGCGACTTAGGTGGAATGACGTGCAAGTGGTGCTCCAGGGTCAACTTCAATTTGCCGAGCACGTATGCCGCTGGCTTGGGGTCAGCAGCTGGGTGCAAAGTCTCTGTATACAAATCGTGCACTGTCGTCAACAATATGGCATCCTTGTCCAGCAATTCCCGTCCTGTAGCGGCAATGACTATAATATTGGGGAAATCACGCTCGGCACCTTCCGTGCTGTACTGAGAGATGATGCTTCGCAATTGGTGGTCTGTGCTTGGTGCATTGTCGGCAGGGAGCATGTCAATTTGCTTTTGGTAGCAGCGTCTACAAAATCGACTCTCGTCTGAAGTCCTGACATGGTGCATGCTACGCAACACATGCTGCTGCTGCTGAAGCTGAAAGTTTGGTGACTTCCACCTGTGTTCTGGTGTGAGTCTCGACTTACACCAAGCACATGTTGCATGGCCCACACACTGCTGGTAATGGGTTGGGCACAGAAGCGGTTCGCACTGTTCTTTCAGACTGTGCACGCGCAGTTTGTCTGCAGGACAGTGTACGGATGCCGCTCCGCTGCAATCATGTACACTGCATGTGCTTTGGCTGACTGGTGGCTTATTTTCTTTCGCTGCTGTGCATACTTGGCGTCGTAGTGCTTTGACGCACTTGCAATAAATGCATTGGCCTGACGTGATGGATGTGCATGTGTGTAGCTTTTGCCAATTTTGCCAATCTGACAGCATTGAGTCATGTGTAAATCGCTTGTCAGATGGCACTTTGGAGCAAATGCTTCATTCTGGGCCACATGGTCGTCAAGTATGTTTGCTTGTGCCAGTTGTGGCATTGCTGGGTCTTCCTGCCGCTGACATCTGTGCACACATGCATGGAAAATATACGTAAAAACACTAGTTAGAAATCACGTCACCAGAGGCATGCCCTTTTTTCGGCCAGAACATAACTTCCACTCCAATGTCACAAAGACTTACTCTTTCGATACGTCCAGCATAGAAGCAGCGAAATGCCTGGTTAATTCGGTGGCACGAAATTATAGGTCGGGCGACGAAATTTCGACGAAAAAAGGAAAAGAGACAAACCGACGTGTAGCGACACCAAACTACAGAATTTCGTCGTTCTTGAAGAACTCATAACAGAAAAAGGTGAAAGGCGACTACTGAATCCTCGAGTGTGACGAATAACTCCGAGAAAGCGTGAGACTGGCCAGCACGTACATACATGAAAACGATCGTATGTTGAGAATGCCTTGAGAAAAGTGCCCAAAAAGGGTGCATCTGAAAAATAGAACTCTGTGTTCCGACGTGATTTTTCAAATCTGGCGCATCGACTGTTCAAATAAATCAATACCATACCTAGCTCTGCGCTGCATGCCCTGGTTCGGTCATGAGTCATGACTCGACTGGCCCTAGCCGCCTAGCCCTGAGCTAGCGCCTACTCCACCTAGCGCTATGCGCTAGCGCCTAGCGCCTGGTCTCATACTACGCCTACGGTGACCATGGTGACGTGCCGCGTCACGTAGGTCTACGTCACGTCAGGACTCTACACGATCGCAGACTCTACAAAAATAAAAGATGTGATTTGAAAAGAGATCGTAGACTACGGTACTATACTTGTCACGTCAGTGCAGTGCAGTGCGATTATTTCTTGACTTGAGCCTTGTTTGTGCTTGTGCTGTTTCATCGTCTTTGTTTTTCGTTATCATGGCATTGAGGTGTGCCCTTTACCGGCGGCCTCTATCAGGCAGAGTTCGAGGATTCTGTTCTCCAGCGGAAAAGGTTAGTTTTGTGCTGCAGCATTCTTTCCTCTTTTTTTCGGACTCAAAATAATAATAGATCTCATGCATTCACGCAATTAATTCACACATCCAATCAAGAAGACACTTCTCATAAGGTATCGAACGTTTTCGTTCCCTTCTCTTCAAGAAGTAATACAGAGAATGCCTCGAAAAAAATTCGGACATGTTTTTGAAAATCGCAATCAAGAGTACCAAGTGGGTGACATAAATATCACGAATGCTTTACTAGTTTTTGCGCAACAGTGCTCGTCTGCAGGAAGTGTTCAATCCATTGATTGCTATATTATCACAATGTATTACTGTATTGAGTGTGTTGGTTTTACAAAGTCTGGGTGATGGCAGGACAGACCTGGTAGCATTAGGCGGTCAAACCAGGGGTCAGTGTATACCAGCCATGACACGGGAGACATGGAGGCCTCGTTCAGTAGTACCCCTCTGTGTATGGTGCGGGGTTTTTTTGCTTTTGGAGGAGCCCCACATGGTGTCAACTATCCGACCGCGGATGAATACATTAATCTAGCACGTCAAGCGAGCCGGTGGGACCAGGGCACCTGGTCGTAACATGAGGATATCGAGACTGACATTGTCGGTGGCGGCTGAGGCGTCCAGGAACACACAGTTTACATGGTCTTCCGTATTGTCGTTGTTGGCTAATCCATTCAACGAAGGAGCAGCACTGCAGCTCGGAACTCATTGCTCTCCGAAAGCCAGCTTGTTCTCCGGCGATCGGATCGCAGTCCTCCAGAAAATGAGTGAAGACGGCTGGTGGCAAGCCAATCAGCAACTTGACAAAGGCGGGTTTGGATTTAGGAACAGGAATGAGTGAACTACAGTAAGATCGGGCGCCGAAGAACGCAGGGGCTCGAGCGCAGCCTAGGAAAGTTCTTAAATTTTTGATTCTAGCCAGACCGTTCTTATTCACACGCGCGCGGCGAGTCGAGTGACGTCATGACGTTTGTCATGTACATGTACATGTAGTGCAATGTAGTACTTCTAAACTAGTGGGTGTCGTCAATGGGAATGACTGTACATGTAGCAGTTACTGTTTACACGTGTACATTACATGTACTCACCTCCCATACATGTACAATGTATACAATTTTAAAAGTGTTCTTAAATCTGATAATTCTAGCCCGGACTGTTCTTAAATTTTGCCGGTTTTCCAGCCTGGGTGTTCTTCGGCGATGTGTTCTTCGGCGCCTGATCTTACTGTAGGTTTCCAAGCCAGAGGGCATTGTCCACTGCACCAAGATAGGTTGATGATACCAGTAAGCTCAGTGATAGTGCATGCTGTCAGGTGCCTCTGAACCAGCTTTTGTACACATCATAGACTGGATGACTCGCTCCACTTCTATTTCAGAGAAGTCACACTCAAAGGGGTATCTGTCATTGTCTTGGTCATCCACCAGTTTCCACTCCTCTGTTGCCAGGTTGATTAGTTGATCAGGGTCGCCATTAGACCACTTCACCAGTACAATGTACGACACCCAGACTGCCCTCCAGGAACTTCCACTTCACCACAAGCACTCTGTACCATTGGTTTGTGCCAGAGACATCGGAGGGGATTCTGACTTCAATCCTTATGCCCAATAGAGATGGGACCCTGGGTACGTCTCCCAAAGTGAGTTGGTGTGCACGGAATTTAGCCTTACCCAACTCTCTCTCAGCTCTCTTTTTATCTGTCTTTTCTTACTCTTTTTTCTTTGTCAGCTTTCCTGGTGGCTATGTGCTTTTCAAGTAAATAAAAAAAGTAGTGCTGATCAACTGGTTCCGAGCCTCCTTGTGCTCTTCGTCGCTATGATTCTCTTCGGCACGGTGCTTGGAACGTGTCTGCTGGTTGTTGAAAGCTCTGGCTTTCTCTGCTTCTGCCGTGTGTGTTTTACCGTTGATGATGGAGAGAGAGAGAGTCAGCAGTTCGGCATGGATCGCGTTTGCCGTCCAGACTGGGGATGGTGCGCCGCACGTCATTGATCGAGGTGGATTCATTGAGCTTATCACAGTAGTCAGGCCAGGCTTGAAGCTTGCATTAGCTGATCACCCAGGAGGCCTCACCACAAGCTACCTGATAGTTCTCTCTGTTGACAGGCATGTTGACCTGTTGCACGAGCTTGAGAGCCTTTCACTGTGCTGCAGAGACTGCTGCTTCTACCTGATCCCAGCACCAGAAATGTGCGGTCCGCAGTCCTACGTCACTAATCTGAACCATGTTGGGTAGGGTCACTCGCTAGTTTATGGTGCTAGAAGCATGTCCAAAGAATAGTACCTTTGGGCACTTTTCTGGATTATTTCCCTTGTGTAATGCGAGTATTTCTTACACATCCCGTGTATACTGCACCTACATGCTGGTCATGGCCAGTTGACGTGTGATAAGCGAGTGCTGAAAATCGATGCAGGACTGCATCCTGTATTCAAGTACCGTAATGTCGCGTTTAAACGCAGGTGCTTACGGCTGTATAAGCCGATGTCAGTGCTAGGCTTCTATTCAAGTCAGGCTTCTATTCAAACCACGTATCTCTATGTATGTCAACACTGAACCAGGCTTATGTGCTGACAGTGTATCTTAAAAAGCAGGCTTGTATTCAAAACAGGCTTCTATACAAGACACTGCAGTAAACAGTGCTGAAACTATTGTCTCGAATCATGCCACATTCTCCTATGTTACGACTGCTGTCAACCTTTTGTTGTCTGCTGCTGCTTCTTCTTCTTCTGCTTGTGATTCCACAGCGCACGGCACTCTACGACTTCCACGCGAGCAATGGCGGCAAGTTTGTTGACTTTGCTGGCTGGCAAATGCCGGCTCTGTACGGCTCCTTCACACCGCTTCAGTCCGTGACCCATACCCGTCAGCATGCTTCACTGTTTGATGTGTCGCACATGCTCCAGTGGGAGCTGAGGGGGCGTGATTCAGCCCAGTGCTTGGAGTCGCTTTGTACAACTGACGTCCAGGGTCTGGCGAACGAACGCGGAACCCTGTCAGTTCTCACCAATGAGCAGGGTGGTATTATCGACGATTTTATCATCAACCGAATCTCCGACGACTGTATCTATGTTGTATCCAATGCTGGCAATGCGGACAAAGTCATTGCTCACGTCAAGGTAACCAGTTGTAGTGTTAACCACCGTGTATTTCTGTTGCTGTATTGCTGTACAGAGGAGCAGATGAATTCATATGCACTAGAACACACTTACTGTAAAGTGAGAAACTTTCGCTAGAGATTAAATTTCGCTATTTTTGCGACCATCACGCATTCGCGAATATAAATCGCCGCAAACCTCTCCGTACATTGATTGTAGATTGTACAAGATCCGACTGAAGAGATAGAATCGCAAAAGTTTCTCATCGTGAACCCGCCCAATTTATGAAAACGCTAAATTTGCGCCCAGCGAAAGTTTGTCGCTTTACAGTATATTGTGCGAGTAGGCAGTGTGTGTGTGTGTGTGTAAGAAAAAAAGAAAAAAAAGAAAAGAAAAAACAATGGAAAATTGGAAAATAGGGATTCACTGGCCAGAAAAAGTCACGTCAAACAGCTGTGTGGTGGATACCAGGCTAAAAATAGTGGCGGTCAATTCATCAGCCTTGCAAGCTGTTGGATGGTGTAATCCCAGCACAAGTTGCTATGTCTAAAAACATAGCTGTTCGCTATCATCGCTCCCGCGATGGGCATGTCTGAGGTCTGAGGTGTGTGTGTGTGTGTGTGTGTGTGTGTGTGTGTGTGTGTGTGTGTGTGTGTGTGTGTGTGTGTGTGTGTGTGTGTGTGTGTGTACATGTGTGTACATGTGTGTGTGTGTGTGTGTGTGTGTGTGTGTGTGTGTGTGTGTGTGTGTGTGTACATGTGTGTATGCGTGTGTGTGTGTGTGTGTGTGCGTGTCTGCGTGTGTGTGTATATAGGGCATACCGTATTATCTCTAATATAAGTACGGTCCATTATTTTTTCAATGTACCTCCGCCCCGTGCTATTAATGGAGACGTTCCTTTATTGGAGACTGTTCCATTATTATTTCAACCTCATTTCAGAGGCATGTTGCCATGCCAAATTCATGTCAGATACACACATTTCAGGGTTTTTTTTTCGTCGGTACAGATAATGAATTTACACAGTATGCTTATAATGGAGACTGAGCACTTTATTTTTTGAATGCCGCCCCAAGGTGTTCTATTATTGGAGACTGTGCTTATATTAGAGATAATACGGTAGGTGGAGAATATCGGGTGATCCGGTGTAGCCATGCCTCCTGATGTGCCTTGTGCCATGATCGAACTGACCGTATTTCTTTCATGTTGACTCCTGTGGAGGAATGCATTAGGGCTGATGGGCATACACTGTGCCAACCATCATGATTCTCACATAAGAGAGGTTCTGCAAAACGAAATTTCAAACGAAGTTTCACGACGGTCCTTGCGAAAGTGTGTACGAATTTTCGCACAAACTTTGCATTCTGCACATTTTCGTAGTTTGCATGTGCCAAATGCACTCGGATGTTGAGCCAATAATAAATGTAGAAAGGAAGAGGACATATGGATACGAGTGTCAGGACGTCGAATGTCTCAGTACTTTGTCAGCTTTGTGCCTAGTTGTTGCACTTTCTGACTGTATATAGTATCTGGTTACAGTGATGGAGAGTAACTCTTAGCTCGTATCCATATGTCCTCTTCCTTTCTACGATAATTAATATGGTTATCATTCGTGTAACCATCATGAAATACACTATCTAGTCTAAAAGAGTATAGCTAGTGATGTACATGTACTTTGATCAAAAGTCCATGAAACAGAGTATGTAACTTTGATTTCCTTTTTGTGGGCCAGATGCACCGCATGTTGCCTTCATTACATCATTCAGCTACATCCGCGCTCTGTGAAACAATCAAACACCCACTTTCCCAGGAGTTTTAAACCGACGTACGTACATACGTACGGAACCGAAGTTCGTGCACCCAAATTTAGAGTTAGCATCTGTATTCAAACGAATCAAGCAAAACCAAATACTAAGTACTTGTACGAGAGATTGTGGGCAGAGTGCATAAGCAGAAGGTGTGATTCAGCGTGCCACGCATTGACCCATATCCAGTTGTCTACTCTTGTTTGTGGACTTTTGCTGTTTCCTACAGTTAGTTATTGATGTACGTGTACTGTTATCCTCATCCTTGTTCCCTTCCTTCAGCCGGTGTTTGATGATTTTGCTAAATCCGGCAAAGATGTTTCGTTCTCCCTGAAAGACGGATTCGCTTTGGTCGCTCTTCAAGGTGAGTGACCATGGACCCCTTATTGTTATTCATCTAATTTCCAATATGTTTACATTCTCTAACCAATACCAATAAACTAACTTGTATCCTTTGGGCAATGTCCGTAACTTGGGCATCCTGAATTTAGAAAGGCTGGTGAGAAGAACAAACCCAGCAAACACACTCCAAATTCAGAGTTGAAGGCAAGATTGATCTTCTTTAGACATTTCGATATCTTTGCTCGCATCGTAAATTAGCTCAAATTTTTCACGGTGAGTTCTGGAAGTCCAGGCAATCATTTAAATATGTGTTTCCATGGCGGCAACTAACGGAAGGGGAACCCCCACACTCAAGACAGGACACATGCGCTCAGATTGCAAACTTGCTGTGCCGAAAGATACGGGTGAAGTACCTCCACAGCCACCTTGACATTTTTTTCCTACCGGCAAGTTGGTTTTTCTCTTCTTCCTAGATAGTTGGATGGCACCAATTGAGGATTGTTATTGTTACAACTGTTATAAAAATCGACCACCAGTGATCACCGTTTTTATGGTAGACTGTAAAAGGGTCGCGTTCTGTCGGTGGAATCGTCCTCTCTCAATCAGTTCTTTTACAAAGTCAACAGTGGGAGGGACCCGTTGCAAGTCCAAGATGCTGGCGACGATGGCTAGAGAGCTACGTTGCTCCTATCAGAGAGGATGTCAGACGGAGAAGTTGCATGTAGTTTTTTTAATTGCACTCGCAATTTTTTGTTGTGTTTGGAGTCTTCTGACAGCACATTTCTAGGCCACCGGTCTATTTTGTACAGTGTTTGTGTCTGTTGTATCAACGGCAACATGTTCATTTGTCCATTCATTCGTTTTGATTCTATGGATTCTCCGAAGACAAGACTAGTAGACGTTGCCAATGATCTTGTTCTTCTATTCTCTCCTCTTTGATGTATTCCCGCTTTTTCCTGGCCATAGTTGGCCAGGCGCGTACGCAGGGGGGGTTTCCCGTTGCCCGGAAACCCCCCAAATGTTCCAAACGAGCAACGTTTTTGGGCATTTATTGGTTGGGCGCATGATCGATCTGGCAAGAATGCAAAACTTCAAAAGATCGTAACTCAGTCAAATCTCGCTCAAATCCAATGATCCAAATATCCAGGTCGAATAGAAAACTCTCAGCTGTCGGTTGAAACAATTTATGAAGCGCTGCGAGCAATGTATCGTGAGATAAATCATTCGTAAATTGAGCCGCAATCTCGGCAATTTCAAAAGCGCGCAGTGCGACTTGAGTCCCGAGAATTTGAGATTTTCGTCGCGCTGATTTGCTCAAATTTGCAGGCGCTTCCCTTGTGATATTTTCAAGAGTACACAGGAAAAAGTCGAAACTCTGCGATCAAGAAAAACGAAATCGCTGGAGCAGGACGCGTTTGGGCCTGTTTGGGGCATTTTTCGCACCGTCGCTGCACTCTACCGCTATAGCCTATATAGCGCTGGATATGTATATGACTGTACTGTGTCCTGGCTATCATGATCCACCTCATTCTCTCCCTGATACCTTTCCACTTCCAGGAAGCCCAAGATAATGAAGATTGAGTGAGTAGAACTGAAGTTATGATCCAAACAACACGAAAAATGCATAATTTTGAAAATTTCCTAGGGCTCTTTAGGAAGGGTTAAAACTAACGCACTTACACCCACTTTGTTACTCGTTGTTTGGGATTCGGTTGGAAACCCCCCTAGAGGTGACCCTGCGTACGCGCCTGGTTGGCTGTACAGATTCCACAATCGCCACATGAAGTGGTCGTTGGCCTTTCCCAGCCGTGGATTGTTTGGAGTAGATAACTAAATAACTGGGTCTGTTGCACTGTTTGATTTACGCCTGACTGTGATTTGCAGGGCCGCAGAGTGCTGCCATCCTTGAAGAAGCCGGTGCATTCAATCTGAGCAACGTTTCGTTCATGGGCGGTTTCGATGCAACGCTCTTTGGTGTGAATGGCTGCAGAGTGACTCGATGTGGCTATACTGGAGAAGATGGCTTTGAGGTACTGTATCATTATGGCATGCCTGGATTCATGGTTTCTTGAAACTTTCAAAGAGATCCTGAGCACTTATCTTGCTCAGCATGGAACTGATATTTGGGGAGCGGATTCTCCGTCAAAAGTGCTATAGAAAGTGCTATCTACCAAAAAAAAATTAAAAAGGTCCCACGAGTCTAAAGAATGGATTTCTGTGGTTTATTGAGTTTCCTTGTCCTTTTCACTGGGCGTAATGTGCTTTTGTGGACCAGAAAGGAGGAAACTGTATGCAAATAAAAGTTGCCTCAATACCCTGTGGCTGATGTCGCGTGAAATGATTGTGGTCAGATCAACTTCTTCTCTGTAGTGTAGCTTATGCAATGTCATGCACTGTACATGAACTACGCTATGTCACCACACTCTGGATTGGCATGCGCATTCCCCTGATGATGTTGTTGGGACTACTGTTAGTCTACCAATTTTTGGCCTCCCAGGGCTGAAACACATTTCGGCCGCGTTAGAATTTCAGCCCTTACTACTGCTACATGTATACACTGTCACACTGAACTTTGCAAAACAAAATTTCGCTGCAACAAATTTTAGGCCCAAATCCCCGGGCCGAAAATAGCCGAAAGTAAATACTCTAATTTCCGAAATTTTAGGTGCTCAATATTTTCGGTATGAGGGCAAAAGGCCAGGTTAGGTGAACAGAAAATTTAGGTACAAAGTAGCAGTTCCCTATTGGACTATGTGTGTTAGTGTTTGTTCGGTGTATTGAAAATTTAGGTATGAAACAGACCCGCCGAAAGTACCGAAAATAAAAGTACACCGGAAATTTGTGAAATTACAGTATGCGTCAAATATTTGTTGACTTTAAATAATACAGCAACCAGAGATTCACACATACAATTATCACAATCATGTTGAATGTGAAAATGGCCAATTTCGGGGCCTTTTTTAATCGGTGCAGAAATGAAAATTGCAGAAGATATATAGTCTTTAGGTCACTCAGTCGAATGGTCTTGGTCGGAAGACGATGCGATACACCGTCGCCAATTGAACGGGTTCCGAGATCGGCCATGTTGCACTCAAAATGTTCCGTGCAGATGTCTTGCTTGTCTTGGTGACATTGTTACCAGGATGCAGTGCACTGTATATGCCAGTTTGATTGGTAGTAACGTTATCTGGCATGCGATGCATCGTAGCTTCCTCTGACAAATACCATTCGACTCTGCACCCCACCTCTACATGTACTGACTCTGTGTGTGTGTGTGTGTGTGTGTGTGTGTGTGTGTGTGTGTGTGTGTGTGTGTGTGTGCGTGCGTGTGTGTGTGTGTGTGTACGTGTGTGCGTGTATCATGCAGATATCAGTGCCCAGTCAACATGTTGTTGCGCTGAGCGAGCGTCTTCTTGCTGCATCCGGGGGTGATGCTGTCAAACTGGCTGGACTGGCCGCAAGGGACACACTTCGCCTTGAAGCTGGCCTTTGCCTTCACGGCTCTGATATCGATGACTCGACCTCTCCCGTTGAGGCTGGCCTTGCCTTTGTTATTGGTGAGTACTGTCAAGGAGGAGATAGGTACATGTAGGGTGTGTGCAGTAGTGACATGCTGTATTTCTGCTTGTTGGGCAAACAGTCCGGCTTTGCTTGCTGTCTCATGTGTTTCCTTATTTTGTGTGCTGACACAAACGCACCTTTGTCTGAACAGTTGCATTGCTATTGAATATATTCCTTCTGCTTTGTCATGCTCGCTTGTTCAGGAAAGAAAAGAAGAGAGAGCTGGAGTTTCCCTGGTGGGCCGATCATCAGGGATCAGCTGAAGAACAAGCCAAGCAGACAGCGGGTTGGCTTCATGTCAACCGGGCCTGTCGCTAGAGGTGTGTTCATGTAGTCTTCTTTGCCATGTCTTCTATGCCAAGACTTCTTAGATCATTCAGTGTTCTTACAGCTATCCTACTACAGTAGACTCCTGACTTAGTCTGCTTTCTGCAGTCGTACAACCTATTGTTATAATATTAGTTCTGTTGAGGCTATAATGTTATGTGCGTATAGTAGTATGCCAGAAGACTGCAAGATGAAATGAAGTTTGCAATATGCAGAAATGGGAACTAGATTTGTAACAGGTATACACTAAAGGCTGCGTGTTGAAAATTTGAGGCGTCTTGGTTGAGTAGTTCCTGAGACATGGGCCTTCAAAGTTGCGTATTCTGATTATAATTGCAAGTTTGAACTCGGATGCTGAGCCGAAGTAATCATGAGTTAAAAGAAAGGACATGTTACGAGTTATGACTAACTGTCCACCCACGTAACCAGATCACAATAATACAGTCAGCGAGTGCGACGAAAACGTGCAAACTGACAAAGAGTACTGAGACATTCGACGACCTGACGCCTAGCTCCAACACTTCTACGAGGCGCCAACCAACAACCATCCAACTAAGGAAGGCTCAGGTTAGGAGAGGTCCAAGAGGAGAAGGAAAGCGCAACGAAGAAGAGCACGAGCTAAGTCCCACGACAACAAAGAATGCCGAAAGTTACTGGATGATGACGAAACTAAGTTAGTAAGACCATTGGACATACCGGTCTTACTGCAACTCGACGACGCAAAGCAACAGACCACCAACTTACTTGGGAGGCTCAAGTTTATGTATTAACATAGAAAGGGGAAGCGGACCGAAGACGAATTGTGGCAAACCGAAACGTCAACATCCTACCGAACTATTTCTACACGACATACGTACTTGAAGTACGTGATCTAGCAGATCGCTGACAATGATGCTTGTGTTTTTTTGTTTTGCTGCATCACCACCCTCAGCTGGATCTGACATTCTTGATGACAGCGGCTCGAAAATCGGTAAGCTCGTTCTGATGCCAAAGTGTGGGTGGGGGTGCCATGTGTACCAGGGGTACGCGGACATTATCTTTTATCTCGTAAACATGCCAGTAGCCCGGGCTTCTCAGTGTGCCAAACGTGTGAACTGGCACTGGAGAAGAAGGCCAATGTTGGATGAGATGTTTTAACCCTTTGAGACCCAGACGATCGGATTTGATCATTTGTAGTGATGAAAACGTGGCATGTTCGAACCATCGTGAATTCGCCATTATCGTATTAGTGATGTCCTCTACGTTACAGGAACACTGCGCAAAGAATCTCGCCCATCCCCAGCATGCATGGTTGTTGCCAGCATGGCATAGAGTCGAGTAGCCTTTTTTTTTACTTTTTAAAACACTGGAGTGTTTTTGATCAAAACTGGCAAAATTGTAGTATGAAAAAGGAATTTTAGGAAGACACGTCATCTTTGGCATTGTCATGGCGCTCTGCAACACTGGCCTTCTGCCGTTCTGGTAGCCCTGTTACTGATCTTGGGCTCTTTGGGTAGCTGGGGACGAGCGCTTTCCAGAAAGCCCCACCAGTGTCAAACCTGAACAAAGGAGACCAAAGTTTTAGGCTGAAAACAACTGCTCTCCAGACCACCATCAATTTGTGTGCAGGCCAGTGGGTCTCAAAGGGTTCTTTAAAAAAAAAGCATCTGCATTCAGTTCTGTCTCCTTGTAGTCCACTCACTCTCCTCATTGATGCAGTACCTTGATGGTCACCCTAAAACTTCCGTGAGCAACAGGTCTGTGATGTTCGAATGCTGAGCTTGCGTGCAATTGTATTGTTTCATGTACTTAATGTATGGTGCGTTGTTTGTTGTTTGAACTGGGTACTTAATGTATGGTGCGTTGTTTGTTGTTTGAACTGGGCGACAGGTCATGTGACCAGTGGTGCTCCATCGCCCTCACTGGGTAAGAACATCGCCATGGGCTATGTGGCCAGCACACATGCAGCAGCAGGCACAGCAGTCAAGCTACAGGTGAGACAGCGTCTTGTCGACAGCGCCGTCACCAAGATGCCTTTCGTGCCGGCACGCTACTACATTGCCAAGAAGTAGATGTAAGACACTAGACCTTGCTCTGCTTCTGCTTCCGCCGCTGTTTTCGTACAAAGAAACCTCATCGCACACTTGATAGAATATGCTCCCAACATTATTCTAGGCCTACAAATAGTGCTGTTTTGATCACTGAACTCATTGCACAGTGTGTTAGTTCAATGTTGAGTAGTTTCATGCTTGTAGCTTGAACAGTATATGTTTCCTGTATGGTGTGCACCTGCTCCTCTCACTCACACACACACACGCACACACACGCGCGCGCACGCACACACACACACACACGCACACACACATACGCTGGCCGACATGTACATACATGGATACTCATGTTCTCCTTTTCCAAGCTGCCTGCTATAATTATATCTTTCTCTTATCTGCAGTGTTGACTCCACTCGCTTCACTCTCCAATCCGACTTACTTTGACTAATGCGGATGGCAGTTTCAGACCGCCGCTGAATTGATTTACTGGCATATTATCACATAAAGTAGGAGCGGCAATGTCGGTTCTTTCTTTGACCGGTGGTTTCACAATCATCAAACGATACGGCTGTGGTGGTAATCCTAGTCGAGGCTGCGCTGCTCCCTTCTCATGAAACTTGTCATCTTTTTTCTTCTTCAAATTTTGCATGCAAATAATGGACGTGCTCATTCAACAGACGGATAAGAGATAACAGTAGACCTGACGATAGTACCTATGAGTAGTGTTAAGATTTTAAGTTGTCCCTGTGCACATCGTACATGCTCTATAGGTAATTGGACAAAGAGTGAGAGAACCGCTGACGCCTAAGAATTGTGTATTGTGTGAAATGCGTGTTTGCTTATAATTTTTGAAGTACAGTCAGACCTCAGACCTCAGACCTCAGACCTCGCTTATCTGGTCCTCGTTTATCCGGATCCCTCGCAATGCGGAAGAAAACAGCTGGTTACAGATCTACAGCATACGTGGTGCATCCAACATAACTGGTGTTCGGTTATCCGGTTCCCTCGCCTAACCGGACTTTTTTTGGAAAACGGATGTGTGCGGTTTAAATAAGCGAGGTCAGACTGTATACAGATTATAGGGGGGGGGGGGGGGGTGTCCAAGATGACTAGGGTGTGCATGGTAAACAACCTTGTACAGGTGGAATCCTGATAATTTGAACCTCGAAATGCCAGGAAAAACTTCTAATTATCCGGACATACTACATGTAATTATCCAAACATGAACCCACAACACAACAATATTTATGCATGGCAAAAATGCTCTCATGGTCACGCAGAATTGCGCTATGGACCTTAACTAAGATACAGATTTCACGGATACTGAACTGACCGGCACAGCCTGCTCATGCAAACTGAACTGCCCAGTACAGTGAACTTCGAATTACACTTGGTGAAAGTTCTAGGTTGATTGGAGCAGCCGTTCCCCGAGTTATACATGTTTGAAGTTTGCACTAAATTTGGTGTTACCTTGCCCAGGCCAGGCCGGATTTATGAAGTCAGAGAGGTAGACTTTGTATGGGAGTAGTAGATGGGGAAATTTCAGTATTTTGGCTCTCCATTGCCCCAAAGAAATCGGATCTTTTTCAAACTTCGGTATGGGACACATGGCACCATACCGGTATCCCAACTCAGGGTATATTCTAGGACGAATTTCCAACCGGTTACGGTCCAATGAAGAGTCGGGGGGGGGGGGGGGTGCGGGGGTCCCCCCGGAAATTTTTTCAAAATACAACCCAAATATGGCACTCGACAGCAATTTAACAGATTTCTTGTTGATGGAGTGTAGCAAACCGTACAAACTCGTGACCCTAGTACCAGCTCACGCGGCTTCGCTGGAAGTATCCGTCGAGAAAAAAGCGTTTGACCATTCACAGCTCCATTCACCCACAGAAAAGTACGGGCGGTTGGAACTGATTCGTAACTTTTCAACCGGTCGCCAACAATTCCAACCGGTCGAAAAATGGTTGGGGCGGTTCTAGAAAATTCCCTGCAACTGGAAAAAAATCTAGTATGAAATTCATTGTTGCAGAGAAACAAGAAAGAAATTGGTTTTTCCCCATCTACTCCGTATCCACCTGTACGAAGATTATGAAAGAGATAGAAAGCCGATTCCAGCGGCCAAGTAATTAAAAATTGAGATAATTATTTGTGATGTTGGTGACTTCGTGGGGCACAAAGGATGAAGCCAGCCAGCCTTGAGTCATGATGAAAAGTATGTTTCGCCAAGGAACGGGCTACTTTCTTTCAAGTCTTCGTACACTTGACCACAGCTTCTCCATGCAACACAACCTGTACCAGTTGTTAAAAAAACACAAAGCGAGAAGAGGAACACAACAGACCGTGCTATGAGGGGCAACACCTGCTACTGCCAAACTTAGTTCACACCACACTGCCAGCACTATGGTCCTATGGAGTCACACAAACTCATACCGGTATGTCTCCATGACCAATACTGGCCGCGCAGCCGGCCATAAGGATTCACAGCATGTGGATGTAAATGATATGTCTACATCAGCTTATGTCAGTTGTGAGAACAGCTTTATGTGAAATGCTGGTGGTGGTTGTGCCATTGCCATCATCATCACCGCCGTATCATTACTGGTGCTTGGGAGCACCAGCAAGGCTACCTTCCCACCAGATTTGACTTGTCCTGAACTGGAGATTATTTATCCTTTGTTCTGCAGTTTGTGACATTCTAGCAGAGTGAATATATCTACGGTACCAGCATATTTACATCAAGAGTAACTAAGCTCGAGGGAGTTGTCAAAATACAACCCCATGGTGAAAACAGTGCACTATGCTACTGGGACCCAACGCATGCCAAAGTAACAGACCCCATCAGCATACCTTGTCACGTTCAACCGCGGTGCAAATAGTCTCGATGATAGCGAGGCTTTTCCTCCTCTCCTTTACGCGGACGACACCGAGAACTTCCTCATCGATGAACACTTTGATGATGGCAAGAACGGAGAACAGACATGTGAAGACATAGAAATCCGTCAGAAGCTACACAATGTCACGCATCCTGAACTTATGGAGCCTATCCCGGGTGATGCACAGGTACCCCTGTAGTGCACAGCGTAGAATGTATCCTGGTGCATGTACTACATACATTATGTGAGGGAAGGGAGGGGATTTTAATTTGTTATGCTACCTGTGCATATGCCATGTGCAGCTACTCGCGATGGTCGACAAGGCCTGTACTATTGGATCTGTCTTTGCTTCACAAACTTGTAAAAAAGCATGTGCATGCAGCAGTTTAGGCAAGAGATTACAGAAAAACTTCGAAGGATCCGATTTTTCAAGAAAGAAAGGTATTAAGGTACCATATTTTATGTGATCATGATCATTCTTGACAGATGTCAAGCACATCATTCTGTGTTGTTCACGGTCTTGTGTTTACTACAGGACTTTGCAGATAGAAAGGTTGAAATAAGAACCATCCATTCAAAAAAATCCTTTGGCAAATCATGGAGTGAACAAGAACAATAGTCTCTCTCCCCCGCCAGTAACCTCCTTGCTTATAGCCCTACCGGGAGCGGTGAAGTGCAATGTTTGCGACACATATATTGAACCCGTTCCAGGCATCCGTGTGCCTAGCAAGGCAGAAATCATGCTGCAGAACCAGCAACAAAAGGGTGAACAACAACACACACACACACCTCAGACCTCAGACATGCCCATCGCGGAAGTGATTATAGCGAACAGCTATGTTAGACATAGCAACTTGTGCTGGGATTACACCATTCAACAGCGCACGCACACACACACACACACACACACACACACACACACACACACACACACACACACACACACACACACCTCAGACCTCAGACCTGCCCATCGCAGAAGCAATGATAGCGAACAGCTATGTTAGACATAGCAACTAGTGCTGGGATTACACCATTCACACACACACACACACACACACACACACACACACACACACACACACACACACACACACACACACACACACACACACACACACACACACACACACACACACACACACACACACACACACACACACACACACACACACACACACACACACACACACACACACACACACACACACACACACACACACACACACACACACACACACACACACACACACACACACACACACACACACACACACACACACACACACACACACACACACACACACACACACACACACACACACACACACACACACACACACACACACACACACACACACACACACACACACACACACACACACACACACACACACACACACACACACACACACACACACACACACACACACACACACACACACACACACACACACACACACACACACACACACACACACACACACACACACACACACACACACACACACACACACACACACACACACACACACACACACACACACACACACACACACACACACACACACACACACACACACACACACACACACACACACACACACACACACACACACACACACACACACACACACACACACACACACACACACACACACACACACACACACACACACACACACACACACACACACACACACACACACACACACACACACACACACACACACACACACACACACACACACACACACACACACACACACACACACACACACACACACACACACACACACACACACACACACACACACACACACACACACACACACACACACACACACACACACACACACACACACACACACACACACACACACACACACACACACACACACACACACACACACACACACACACACACACACACACACACACACACACACACACACACACACACACACACACACACACACACACACACACACACACACACACACACACACACACACACACACACACACACACACACACACACACACACACACACACACACACACACACACACACACACACACACACACACACACACACACACACACACACACACACACACACACACACACACACACACACACACACACACACACACACACACACACACACACACACACACACACACACACACACACACACACACACACACACACACACACACACACACACACACACACACACACACACACACACACACACACACACACACACACACACACACACACACACACACACACACACACACACACACACACACACACACACACACACACACACACACACACACACACACACACACACACACACACACACACACACACACACACACACACACACACACACACACACACACACACACACACACACACACACACACACACACACACACACACACACACACACACACACACACACACACACACACACACACACACACACACACACACACACACACACACACACACACACACACACACACACACACACACACACACACACACACACACACACACACACACACACACACACACACACACACACACACACACACACACACACACACACACACACACACACACATATTTGGAACCTAACTTGACACGCTTAGCAGCCAGACACCAATGATTGGTGTCTGGCTGCTAAGCGTGTCACTGAGTAAAGACTCTACCAAAGAGTGCTGCGAAGTCTACACGGACCCCCTTGAGAGCTGGGAAAACTATGTGCAGTTATGCTACCATCAGGGCGTTCAGTCAAAAAGAGCTGTCTGCGGACATCTACCCGCTTCTATCGACCCCCAGGGTATTCAACTGTTTTTTTAACAGGTACAAGTGTACTAGTATTCTGTAAATGCATCGTAAAAATCCTCGGTTGTCATCCTCTGAAATTCGCTTGCTCCGGCCGACCCCATTCACTACACCAGTTGTTGTAGATACTGTGAATCGCCCAATACTGGCATCACTTAACTTTCCTGATGTCTCAGACCCAGCGAGTTTACGATGGCAAATGTTCATGGAACACTGTGGTCACACATACACATACACCCACTGTTGAAGTTTGATTTCACCCTGGTGAATATTCGCAATACACTCTTCTCGTGAAAATAGCGACTACTAATACTTCGCAAACACTCGGCAATTCAGTACATGTATTGGCATAAATTCCTCCATGCTGTTTCTGATACAGATCTTGCCAGTGAAGGTCGTAAGAATACAGAATGGCTAGAACTAACTTGTGAATGGCACTATTTCATACAGCGAGTAACTGTGAAATGAAGAAGCGCGCTTCAGTGCTTTTCCAGTCAAGTAGTTAATGTAATAGTGATGTGTGTATGTGTGTGCGTGTGTGTGTGTGTGTGTGTGTGTGGTGGTGGTGGTGGTGGTGTGTTTGTGCGTGTGTGTGTGTGTGTATGTGTGTATCGTCTTCGCTAGCTCGGTCATATTGCCAGGATGGATTCCGACCATCTTTCCAAGCAGGTCCCCTTCGGGGAACTTCCACCGCGACGCCCCAGTCATGGCCCCAGGAAGAGATGGCGTGCAGCCGCTAGATCTGATTTGGCCGTGACGGGGTTCCCGGAAGGGGACTGGTACGATGTGGCGCAAGACAGGGCAGAGTGGAGGAATATGTCCCCTTGCCGTCCTCCTCATCCTCGAGAGTCAGCGTAGAGTTTTTTTTAAGTGTATGTGTGGACAAAGAACATTTCGCCGGGTGGGTGACTTGATGCATGACTCCCTTTATTGCTCAGCTCGCATGCGATCATTGCACTAGCGATGGGCGTCCAAGGTCCAAGGTGTGTATGTCTGTGGATAAGTGTGTGTGTCTGTGTGTGTGTGTGTGTGTCTGTGTGTGTGTGTGTGTCTGTGTGTGTGTCTGTGCACTCCCTTATCCACACATAATCCTCATCTGGACCATCTCGACTCCCCTCCCCTGTGCTCCGCTGTATGCCCCTTACCGGCACTCCACTGTACCAGTTTTACAAGTACATACGCCAAGTAGCTATTACCAAAGGCTCACACAGCCTTTGCAATATTTAGGCTGCGTTCGTTTTTAGCTACCTAGTAGAGTAAAGTAGAGCAACTCTACCAATAGCGGTGAAAGGTAGAGATAAGTGCACAAGCGCTGGTCTAGTAGTTTCACGATCTGTGCAAAAAATTCAATATAGGTGGAAGTACAGTGCGTATCGGTTATAGCGTGGTCGTGTAAAAGAATATACTGCCTACAAGAATGAACTCTCATGTATTCATAATCATAACATGGGTTTCAAGTGCACTTTTATTCTTACAAGCAATTTTATCGTACAGTAGAATATATTGGTCCTAAGAATGGACTTTGTGTAGCGAAACATGCCAGATTAGTACAAAGTATATCGCCTGTAGTAATAACATCCGTCCAATGCAGACCGTATCTGACTCGTGTTGGGTCGTAGTGCTGCAGGTTCAACTACATGTATTGTGGTCATGAAACTCATGTAATGTTGCATAGCTACATGGTAAGACTATGACCAGCCGCATGCACAGTAGCACTACATTGCATGTACGATGATCTATTCTTCCTGCCTCTGTGCACATGCACATGATATGGCACACTTGATTTATCGTGCGTAAGAAATATTGGAAATAAGAATAGAAAGTCGTTTTTCAAACACCCACGCTATAACCGATACCTACTGTACTCACTTTCATTTCTGCAGGCTTCCCAACTGTATGGAGTTATGGACAACTCCCTGATTTTGTTAGAAATCCCGTACCTCTGCCAACTTCTACCAGCCTCAAACCTGGTTAGAACCGGTAGAGAAAAGTAGAATTTACTCTTTTTAGTAGAAAAAACCCGAGCACATCTACCGAATGCAGTACAATGGCGCTCGCTGAAATCTGACCCCCCCCCCCAAAAAAAGTTCAAAACTGGTGCTAGACTCGTTTTCAGAAGGCGTGTGTATACATGTGTGTACACGGTCAAGTCTATTACAACACGAAGCGTGACGAAATCCTGAGAATGAGCCGTGACGGAGGCGTATATGGATATATCATGTGGAGTTGCATGCTCTGATCTGGGGAAGCATCATCTGACTGTATGTAGTATTGTACTGTTGCTGGTGTTACCCAGTTGCATACAGCCATAAATATATCTGTACAGGTGATTATATTATTTTTTATTATTTATACAAAAGAGAAAGACCAAGGAACTACAAGTTACGCTGTGATTGTTTAGTAATTGGTGGTGTTAGTGGACAGTATAGCGTAACTTGTAGTTCCTTGGTCTTTCTCTCTTCTTTTTTTTTAATTATTTTTTATTCTTCTTTTACTAGGGAATTCCCAACAGGCGTCAGGTGATCGTTGTGACATCTTCATGGCACGACATGCATCATACCAAGGCTGTGTTTACGTGAGAAATTTCAACCCGGGTCGAGTTCAGCCCGGGTTGAAAGTCTGTACGATAGACAAAAATAGGTGAGCGTTTACATGAAGACAGTTGACCCGGGTCAAATACTGATATGCCGCCAAAAGTCCACTTCTACAGTCCTGTATGGTCACGTGAATCCTTTCGCGCGAAATTTGCATGTGCAGTGCCGTTCAAACCTGGCGCGAGATAAGCGGGATTCACAGAAGCTTTTTTGCGATGCGACACGCGATGCGACGCGATCTGCGATGGATGCGTGCGATGCGAACTCGCGAAATACCATTCACAGAAGAAGTCAGCGATGCGACAAAGTTTTGCTGATTTGGGTACGTCACCATGATATTCGCGCGGTTTGACAAAACTTGTAAAAATTTATAGGCAACTCTTGCACCTTTGTACAACTTTGCTGTAGAAAAGGTCAAAATCGTACACCAAATCGCTTGTCGCATCGCATCGCATCGCAAAAGTTGAGCCAAGCTCAACTTCTGCGATGGCCCTGTTGCGGCAGTTGCGTGGGGTCCGCGATGGTTGCGATTTGGGGATTTCCCGGTTTCGCGGCTGTTGCATCGCGTGTCGCATCGCAAAAAAGCTTCTGTGAATCCCGCTTGAAGCGGGATTCACAGAAGCTTTTTTTGCGATGCGACACGCGATGCGACGCGATCTGCGACGGACGCGTGCGATGCGAACTCGCGAAATACCATTCACAGAAGAAGTCAGTGATGCGACAAAATCTTGCTGATTTGGCTACGTCACCATGATATTGGCGCAGTTTGATACAACTTGTACAAATTTATAGGCAACTCTTGAACCTTTGTACAACTTTGCTGTAGAAAAGGTCAAAATCGTACGCCAAATCGCTTGTCGCATCGCATCGCATCGCAAAAGTTGAGCCAAGCTCAACTTCTGCGATGGCCTGCGATGGCCCAGTTGCGTGGGGTGCGACATGGCTGCGATTTGGGGTTTTCCCGGTTTCGCGCCTGTCGCATCGCAAAAAAGCTTCTGTGAATCCCGCTTTACGCACAGAAGTACGTAGTACGATATCTTTGACCCGGGTTGATTTCAATTGAAATCAACCCGGGTCAAGCGCAATGCGTCATGTAAACGCGCCATTCATTTTGTGCACATGGCGGGTTGAAATCTGACCCGGGTTGAAACGCCTCATGTAAACACAGCCCAAGAGTACATAATCCCCTATTGATCATACTTTTGAAAATGTGCAACTGACAACCCACCTGTGCACCAAAAGACCATGAACTATGCGCTGTCCGAATCGCGTGTCCTTCGCATAATTGTCATCCAGATGCAGAGGGTTTGTGTCCCCGGACAATACTGCGAATGCGTCCACGTCTGCCGCGGAAAATGAACGCCTCGCCTCCGCCTCATCTCCCACTGCACACGTTCCACTTCCTGCTGCTTTGTTTGTAATATTGCTACAGCGACGAACGAATGCAGGACACGCCACTGTCAACAAAAATTTTGGTTCAGCTGAAGAGAAGCAGCAAAGTGTAGATCTACAAGTACGAAGATAAATCTGTCTAGACCACATCATTGGCTTATCAATATGCTACTTGTTGGGTTCAAAGTGAAGAAAGCAAGGCTCCCAAGGCACAGGACGTCGACGGTCGACGGGAGCGCTCGATCGAGCATTGAATGATTGTATTTCGAGCATACATGTACAATCAAGAGTGCATAATGATAAACAGTTTATGGACTCTTGGTACAATGATCGATTATGTACATAATGCAATCACAATTATTTCGTTTTTTTACGCTTCGCGTTTTCGAACGTGCACGTACGTAACGTTGCGTGCTGAAAGCATTATTTTTCAAGGACAAATTCAAAATATCATCGCAAAGTTTCAAATCTGAAGTGAAGAAGAGAGAACGCAGTATAGTATTAGTAATGTTGAGGCTTGTTGTTTCCCGATGCCTTAGGCGGCCGTTGGGAAAGTCGACTGTTGTCCGATGTGCATCAGGGTTTACGGGCATAGACCTTCCCCTAACGCCCCGGGCTCCTGATACTCGGACGAGCCAACAGCAGGCGTCGCCCTCGGAGCACGTTCAGCAGCTTACCCAGCAGCCTGCTCGGCAGCCTCGTCCAAATGCTCAGCAAGGACGCAAACTTGAATTAAAACTCTCGGAAAGTTACACTCCTCATCTGACAGCAGGAGAAGTTGAAGAGGGTCTGAAAGATGGATCTTTATTTGTTGGCAAATTCCGCATCAATGCGAAGAATTATCAGCATGGCTTTGTCCCTGATCCCAGTGGAGGTCCTGATATTATGTTTGAGGGAATGTATTCCAGGAATCGAGCTTTTGACGGTGATGAAGTGGTGTATAGCCTGCAACCCCGGCACAGATGGAAGATGCAAGGACACGGAGTGTCGGGTACGGTGGTAGATGCAGATTTGACCTCGATACGAATGCAGAAGACAGCCGAAGTGAAAGCCATTCACAAAGAGGTTGGATCCAGGTTTGCAGCATGCCGAGTCAAGTTGTATGAATTGGCCCTTGGCATTGTGCTGTTTTCACCGAGAGACCATCGCAAACCACGTATCATTGTTCCTCTGAACAAGCTGCCGGTTGATTTCCGGCAAAAATTCTCTGCTTACAGGAAGAAGCTGTTTTCAGTGGAAATAGCAGCATGGGGAGAGGACGCTGTGTTTGCGCAGGGACAACTATCAGAGATTATTGGTGAGGCTGGTAGCATTGAGGCTGAAGAAGCCGCACTTCTCCTGGAAGAAGGTCTAGATTATCCACCATTTTCGGAGGAGATTGAGGCGGAAGTTGCGAGTATGTCTGCGGAGATTACTAAGGAAGAGCTGAAAACAAGGAGAGACATCAGACAAGCAACTGTGTTTGCCATTGATCCAGCAGACTCCAAAGATGCTGATGATGCGATTCACTGGAAACCGCTGAGAGGGAAGAAGTACGAGGTTGGCGTTCATATTGCTGATGTATCTTACTACGTCGCCCCAGACGGTCACATTGATAGACGTGCCTCGGAGCAGTGCTTTACACATTATCTAGCATCTCGGGCCCTTCACATGTTACCGCCGCAACTCAGCGAGGATCTGTGCAGTTTACGACATGCTGTGGATCGGCGAGCTTTGTCCTGTATTTTCACTCTGAACCACAAGCATGAGATCGTTGACACGTGGATAGGGCCCACTGCTATACATGGCAAGGGGAAACTGAGCTATGATGAAGCTGACGAGATTCTAGAGACTGGGACTGTTCCTGACTTTGCTGCCGTCGATGGTTGTCAAGATGACATTGTCAAATCCCTCAAACACCTGGAGATTTTCACCAATAAGCTGAAGAAGGGGCGTGAGGAACATGGCTGTGTTGACATCCGAGCGGCAGGTGGTAAAGAGCTCAAGTTTATCATGGGTGAGGACAACGAACCGATCAGCTGCTACAAGAAACGTAACTTTCGATCAGGAGTGTTGATTGAAGAGCTCATGCTTCTTGCTAACCAAACTGTTGCCAAGTTCCTGGTCGCCAAGCAGCCAGATGCTGCCGTCTTTCGTACGCAGACGGCGCCACAGCCGTCGAAGTTAAATCAGTTTGAAGAATTTTGTTCGGAAGTTGATGGTGTTCAGATACCATCAAGTTGGGACCATACATCAGCATCAGCATTCCTGTCCAGCTTGAAAGGCATGCGCATTGAGCCAGTCATCTGTGAGCGTCTTGTCAGGTCAATGGAACGTGCTGATTACCAGACGTTTGCATCCGGTGCGAAGAAAGACAAGGAGGAGCAGGATGTGAGTCACTTTGCATTGAATATGACCCACTACACTCACTTCACGTCGCCGATTCGCCGCTACCCTGACCTAATTGCTCACCGTCAGGTACGCGACAGTCTTGCTGGCATCGAATGGAGTGCGGCCAAGGACTTGGTGGCACAAGTTGAGAAATCGACGGCTCAGGAGAAGCGTGCTGACACTGCTAGCCAGAACAGCGTTAGTCTCTTCTTTGGCGCCTACATCAGACACGTGAAGGAGATCACAACCACTGCCATTGTTGTCGAACCGTTGCCACGCAAGCTTGTTGTTTACCTAGAGCAGTTCGGCACATCAACTGACATTTTCCTTGATAACACATCCCTGTCTGCAGATTCATTCAGTAGATTTCAGGTGCTTGATGTCTGCCTATGCCATGCTCCAGTCGATGATGACCCCCTTTTCTACAAGGTCACTGTTGCGTAGAACCAGCTGGCCTGGCCTACAAGATTATTATTAGCGTGGTTTTTTTTCATTCTTGTATCCACTATGATCCTGTATTGGTCTCACGACGGCAGAATCGATTGTGTGTGTGTTTGAGGGAGAAGGGGGGGGGGGGGGGGGGGGGGGGTAGGCAGTAAGATAAGATAGAAATGCAAAAAAAGAGTCTAGTAATGCTGGAAAGTCAGACTCAAGAATGGTTGTAACTAAACCGAATGGCCGAGCAGATGTGCCTTTGATCATATTACATGTATGTTGCACAGACAGCCGTAGTGGACACCTGAAGAGTTTTGCCGCACACAAGTCGAAACATCTCTACTAAAGGTATGGTGCATGTGTTGATCAATCTGGATTCGATCAGATTCACTGGAACAGCCGGAGCAGCAGTTCCCAATGATTGAATATATTTGCCGAAAATAGTGCCAGCAATCGTAACCGCTGCAATGCAGTTTTCAAGGGGTTTTGCGAATTGCTCTGGCTACTTCAACCTGGGGACTCAGGGTACATGACTGTACTATATAAAGAAGACTAGTTCTAAACGCACCGCACCGCAACCGGTACCGGTGCGAAACCCATTAGAAACCGCTGTTCAAAACGATCCTGTTCTGGGTTGGACCAGTCGAACGCATTCACCCTACATGGAATCAATCTATGCAATCCTGGTTATGATGTAAGCTTTTATAGAAAGCAGTGCTGTTTTCTTTGTTCCTAGTGGTTGTCTGTCGTCCAAAGGGCCCAAAATTACCTGGACATGTACTCCCGGCAGGTTATAATTGAAGAGAGTACGAAGCGCAATTGTCCAAACTTAAAAGCCCCATACATGTCATAAGTGCAACAAAATGCTTATCCATGTGCGAACCATGTCCGGGCTATGAATACCAGAGAACAACTCGGAACAGAGGAAACAGCACATCATGGTGGCTAGCGACATTCAGTGCAACGCCCAGGGTGGTGCAGCTGCCCGTGGAGACCTGGAACTGCCATTATATCCATGAAGTGGGATTCACCCTTCCCGCCACAACTTGATGAGCTTTTGTCACTGATTGAGAAGACAAGACACTTCAACTTCAAGTAGTAGATACTAGTAGAAAGCATCTATACTGCCATGGTCTCAACAATGCCGAGACAGAGAAGAAAACACTTTTGTGCACTGCAATTAAAAACGTTACCATTAGAAAATGTCAATGAGATTTCCATGACCACCATGCCAGTCTTGGTCCTCAAATAATATGGAGTGGACAGAAGGCAAGTGGGAATGTCTAATGCATACATGGGTTCTGAGTGAGCTACTCTCCATACCTAACGAGACTCATGAAACAAAGGAAGGGAATAAAGCTACAGACAAGAGTAGCAGGTGTAGTAAAAACATAATGTACTCGTATGCAATAAAGCTAGAGTGTAAAACAAAACAAAAGCCAGCTACAAAACCATCCCCCAGCACCGGAAACTAAAATATGTACGCATACTGAACGGCAAGAGTGGGTACGTAGGTAAGTCAAGCACTAATATGAAACAACAGCAAATCAAGAGCGAGTCAGCAAAAGTAAGGCAGCAAAGGTACCATGACGTGAAGCATACCAGCTGCATAAGAAAACAGCACAAGCACGAAGGGCACATCACCCGAGATCAGCACGGAGCAAGAGCGGCACATGTTTCATGTTCCATTGGAGAATCAGAAGAAAAGAATCACCAGACGGGGAGCTGGTCTTTGTCAGGGAACTGGTTGGTAGATAACAGGATCAGAGAGAGTCATCATGCTAGGCACTGCTGGTTTACAAGTGATTCATGTATGTCATGTCGTTGCCTTGTCTGCAGTTTGCTCAAATACACAGATGGATGGGTTGACAATAATACCACCACAGTTCATTGTTGATTCAAAATCTGGACAGGAAAATACAACAGTGGACACAGAGCAATACGAAATGGAACATTATACATCAGCTGCAGCTTTTCAACATGTGAGGCTCAGCGTCACTTGTGTGAGTGTGTGTGTGGGGGGGGGGACACAACAGAAGAGTTTGTAACAGAGAAGTTCTGCAGCACATCAAATACCTTACAATACTCAAGCCACAGTTTTGAGCAGGCCTACACCGAAGGCATAGCCTGCCTACCCAAAGGCACGAAAAGGTACAAATACTATTCACAATCTGGTGGGCTACCTTACTTACCCACACTACATTCAGGATTCTGCAGTAACAAAGAAAGGAGAAACGAGGCAAACAAAAATATCCAAAGAGAATCAGCAATGCGCGTACTGCAAAGTACCACAGTACACAAGCAGGCTTCAAAGTACAACAAGTAGCCTAAAGTCACTGGTAAGCGCCCGCCTTGTTGTTTACGGAATTTCTATCCTAGTACATGTAGCTGGAAAGGATGCTACGCTATCTCTGCATACATGTCTATGATACGCTATCTCTGCATACATGTCTATGCTACGCTATCTCTGCATACATGTCTATGCTACGCTATCTCTGCATACATGTCTATGCTACGCTATCTCTGCATACATGTCTATGCTACGCTATCTCTGCATACATGTCTTGCCACTAGACCAGCAGCCAGTGGAAGATGTGTTCAACTATACAGACATCGTATGAATTTAGGCATGGTGTGCGCTTGCTAGTGACTTTATGGTACATGGACGGCAAGCATGTAGGTGTCCATGGATTTTGACAGAATATGTGTAGTGGAACGCATGTGCATGCATCATCAGGAATTCTAGAATTGGCAGAAAGTATGGTACTCGTACTCTCCCAATGACAACACTACAAAGTCTAGCAATGAAACACTACAAAACTCAACACCTTGATCCGGGTCGTCAAAAGGCCCTCCTAACATCACAAGCAAACAACCATCATCATGCCAATGTACACTGTGTATCTGCCATGCAGGACAAACAACCACAGTCAAGACCAGGATAGGATAATACTATCTCTAAGATACCAAACCGTAGCCTATGGTGTGTGTGCGCGCGCGCGTGTGTGCGCGCGTGTGTTAAATGCGCAACTCGCCTTACTTATTGCGTTCATATCTTTCTTGTCTCCCCGGAAGCTAGGGGTGAAACGATTAGTTCGAATATTCGAGTATTCGTTCGAAAATCTCAAACGAGCGAGTATTCGAAATTTTGCACTCGATTGTTTTTTTTGTTTTTTTTTAGTACTGGCATTCTATTTTTCAAAAACTTCTGTTGTACTGCTCATCGACTGGTATGCACGCATTATTCGTGCCTTTGAGTCAGTATTTTATGACTTGGACGATGCGATCACCACGGCAAGTATTTTTAAACGTTATTTTGTTTTGAGATAATGAAAGTACTGGTGAAAATCGTTACTTTACACTCTGTACAAGACGTTGGCGACTTTTGTTCTATGTTCACAGATAATTTCTTCCGAATTAGTCGAGAACTCACAAATCTAGCGCTTTTGAATTTCGATAAAATACTCGAAATAATCGGATGCTCGATCGAATATTATGAATGAGTGATCGGTTGGTCAAAATAGATACTCGTTTCACCCCTAACAGCAATACATTTCAATACTATCTTTATTAGGAAGACCCATAGGCCGGTTGCCTATCAAGGGGTTCACCGCGTTGAAGGAGAAGACGTGCACGAGTACTCACCAGAGCTAGGATCTCACGCAGCGCTCCATGAGACAGTAACCTGAGCAGGGTCTGAGCTGCACAGCATAGCTCCTCCTGGCGAGAGAAACCTAACGCTCGATGTACATTCACCGACGGTTTCTGGATGCGATACAGATGCAAGACAATGTCAGAGAGCCAGTAAACAAATTCATGTAAGTACTTTTCTACTCCGTGTGAACGTACTGTACAGGATGCGACCAGCGACCAGACTTCACACCGCCAGTGACACTGCAATGTAGTCATTCCTGAATTTCAACTGCCACAACTGCACTACCAACATTCGGCTGAGTGCATTCGGAATGAGGCAGTTACATGTACACACAAAGCATACAATACGCCATGGGCGAGGGAATGCTAGTACTGGTATAAAGGCAGGTGCCGAGTTGACCTGGTACATACCTCACAGGGATCCATTACACCAATGTTGTCGACCAAGAAGAGACCGGCAGAGAGCGAATGCAGCAGTCGCCTGTGCAGAGCAAACACACACGCACAGTGTACACGCACGCACATACACACACACACACACATGTCCATGATTATAGCAGCTATTATGGGTCATAAAGCAGTGCATCTGACCCCACAACATGATAATAGAAGGGTGTAGAAATAAGCTATCGAGTGCATTCAAAAGCAGTTCAAAGATACCACCGTAGAAAACTGACAAAAGAAACAAAAAAATGTTTAATTAATACTTAACCCTTATCCGACCGGCCAGTCAAAAATCGACGACTATCCGTCGATGACTTTAACAAGCTGTAACTCACTTATTTTTGATCGAATCTGCACCATTTTGGTCTCAAAAGAAGCTGGAAAGACCCACCATTCATTGCCAAAGACCGGAGCGTCTTAGCATCTTTCAAAGAGAAGTTATAGGTCTCTGAGTGAGGTCTGTTTTCACACCGCGTACGAAACAAGTTTTCAAATGGTGTAACTTTGGCAATGATTATATTGCCCTCCTAAAACTTTGCCTGGATGCTTCCCTGATGGTATATTCAAAATGTGTCAGCATGAAAGTACAAAATTAGGACTACAAATGGTCCACATGTCGATGAGCCGTACTTCTCTTCAAAAAATGGAATTGGAGAAGGATTTTTGTTCCTCTTACAAATAAAGGCTAGAAACTGTTTCTAGAGAATTCCTCATCGCTCAAGCTTTCCAAAAAGCCCAAGTTTGCCAGTACCGTAAAGTACCGTTGATCCGCCCCCTCTCTAATTCCCGCCCCTGTCGATTTTCTCCTTGTGAAGCGACTTCGGCGTATACAACGAAATACGATGTTGAACCGACGCATGCACTGCTGTACACAATACTTGCCAATCCAGGATCAAAATGTGCACAATCCACCACATTGAGTCTGATCCTCTATGTTGTTGTACACCGTACTGCACTTGACAACCTTGATCTAATTCCCGCCCCCTGCTGAAAACCCAGCTGGGAAGCGACATGGCGTGGGGGCGGATCAACGGTACTTTACGGTATAACCCAAGGGAAACTAAATTTATCAACAAAATGAGTCGCGGCGTCTCGCTTGGACTGAGAATTTGTCCACTTTGACGGTCGGATAAGGGTTAATACTTAATAGACGTAACCAAGTAGGGTGCCCCACTGCCCAGAGATTGCTCAATGCCCAAAACAAGGCAGAGAATTCCACACCGTGTCCTCTTTATCACCACTAAAAATACTGCTGTTCTACAAAAAAAAAGAAAGATAGCTGCACTGTAAGGTGAGACAAAAAAAAGAGATTCCCGGGCCCTCCAGCACCAAAATCGAGCAGAATTCAATTTTTTTTGAACAGTTCATATACTACAAGTACATGCACAGCACTGATCGTGTGAGTAGATCTGTGACAGGGAGCCGCACAAACCCGGACTTGAACGACTCCGGGCCGTCGTTGGCCGAAATACAAAACTTTGTGCGGGTGAACCGCATAGCTGTTGTCTGTAAAAAATTAAAAAATTAAATTTACCCAAAAAATACTGGAAAAAAGAGTTCAGCATGCCATGCATACATACAAACGAAAAAGAAGTAAAAAAATTCATCCGCCTGCACCAATATCACATGAGTCCTGCCTGGGAATCTCGATTTTATTCCCGTAGCTATGCAGAAGACGTTACTTCAGTAACGTCTGGCGCTAGCCAGGGTCCACACAGCTTTAATTCCCGTAGCTATGCAGAAGACGTTACTTCAGTAACGTCTGGCGCTAGCCAGGGTCCACACAGCTTAAATTTGGTGTTTGTTTGTTTGTTTGTTTGTGTCACGCCTGGCGCTATCCCGTATCTGTACCGTACTGTACCGTACCAGCAAAGACAGCTGGCTACTATATGTTTGTTTGTTTGTGCCATCGACATGCCTGGCGCTATCCCCTACCTGTCCCGTACCATCAAGAGTACGGTACCATCAAGAGAATGAGTATATTTTTATTATATGCGAAGTGTATCGGGGGAATGCATTCAGTGCAGTAACATTTTGTGTGGATTTGTGTGCGAGGCCGAGAACCCACTAGCAGGCTGGCTGGTCCGCCTGTCGACCAGCCCGGGGATCGCATGTACGCTGATAGCATAATAATAATTATAACGTATCAGATTGAGTAATTATAACGTATATACAGTCATGTAGATCTATAGCAGGGAGTCATATTATGTAAACGACTCCCAGCTGTATGGGGAGATTTTCTGAAAAAAATACGAAGTAGGGAGACGAGTGAATGCAATCAGAAAATCTCCCCATACAGCAGGGAGTCATATTATGTAAACGACTCCCTGCGGTATGGGGAGATTTTCTGAAAGAAATACGAAGTAGGGAGACGAGTAAATGCAATCAGAATGGATGTTAGTTGCCGTCAGTATAATAATAAGAAGAAGAAGAACGCCCGTGATCGGCAGAGTCAGCGCCGGTCCCAAGAAACGTCAGGACAGACATCCCGTCGACTCCAGAACGCCCGTGATCGGCAGTCAGCGCCGGTCCCATAGCTATGCAGGAGGCGTTACTTGTACTTCAGTATCTCATTGAAACGTTTTTGCAATACAATGATGTAGCTAATCAAAGGAAAAAGCATTTACATCAGTTCTAACAACATGCACGATGAGCTAGGCAACAAAGCATAGCGCAGGGCCCTGAGCTTCCAAGCTCTCTCGTTTGGTATTTGTTTGTTTGTGTGTTTGTTTGTTTGTTTGTGTCACGCCTGGCGCTATCCGTATCTGACGGCAAAAAAGCATAGGATGTTATAAATTTTTCAATTCTCCTATTTTTTTCAGGCATGTCCTGGGATTCGAACCCGCACTATCGCCCTACATGCATTCCCCCATACACTTCGCATTCATACCCATTCTTCCAAGTTGCTTCACGTTATTATCTTGCGTTTGAAAGCCCTATTTGAATATTGCGGGCAGCTGTATGTGGCCAGCTGTGTTTGATGGTACGGTACGGTACGGGAGACGGTGTCGTATTACCCTCGATCGTACCTGTCCCGTACCTATCCCCTACCGTACCGTGCCATCAAAGACGGCTGGCCACAATGCATATTCAAATAGGGCTTTCAAATGCAAGATCACAATGTGAAACAACTTGGAAGAATGGGTATGAATGCGAAGTGTATGGGGAAATGCATGTAGGGCGATAGTGCGGGTTCGAATCCCAGGATATGCCTAAAAAAATATAGGAGAATTGAAAAATTTATAGCATCCTATGCTTTTTTGCCGTCAGATCACAATTTGAAACAACTTGGAAGAATTAGTATGTATGCGAAGTGTATCGGGGGATGCATGCAGGGCGCGCGATAGTGCGGGTTCGAATCCCAGGTTATGTCTTAAAAAAGAGAGGATTTTTTTAAAGAATTTATAACATCCCTATGCTTTTTTTGTCTAGGTCATCAAGGCAAAAAAGCATAGCGTAGGGCCCTGAGCTTCCAAGCTCTCTCGTTTTGGTCTCGCCTAAGATGCCGTCATTGTAGCAGACGGTGGCAGCAGCGGTGGTACCAATAACAATGGTGGTCCAATTCAAGTCCTTTTGATAAGCATCACGAGTGAGCTATATCTATGATTTGGTGTAAGTTGGTCATGTTGAAATCTGCGTAATTCCATATGAACATCTCCCGACACAAGACAAAAATCTTAAGTAACGAAAAAAGCCAGATTGGTCAACAACACTTGTGCCAGTGCCTCACCGGAAAGCCTGTGCGAGCTGCAAAGCATCACGCCGTCCGGGGAGCACTGCTGCTTTGTGTGCCTGTGCACCGCCGGGCAATGAGAAAGCAGAACAATAGCAGAAACACACAGCAAAATCTAGTGAGTACAGCAGTAGCAGCAGCAGCACTGTTGCCCACCATAGGGGTCTCTTGCAGCATTGATAACTTGCTGCACAGCACCTTAGAGTAATGTAGTGCATGCCCTTTTGTACATGTAGCAGATGTATGTCAAACTATCAGGCATACTCTACACATGATCGTGCAGCAGTGCACTATGAAAAGCATGAACACAACGCCACATGTGAAACACAAATACACAAGCTCGTACTTCACAAGTACATGTACACTCCACATTTCAACTAGTCGCGTGAGAGATTGTTAGGAATGCTCTGGGACAAGACTAGTGTCACACCATACAATGCTCTGACAATACACACATGCGCTAAGTCTAGACCTGAGGACCTGAGGCATCGGTACAGAGAACGCTAGAACATTAGAAAGGACACCAGAGAGTAATAGTGCCCTAGAGAGACGCAACGAGCTACTATAATACACTTTAAAACGATGTGGGCTTCGCTCCTGGACTAGCCATTTCAGTGGCCCTTGGGGCCAGGCTGATTTATACATGCTTGCATATGACAACGCTTGTCTGGGCCACGCTCAGGGTCAACAGGCCAAGTCGCAATCACGATCACTGATTGCATTGACCAGGGATCACTCAGAACCTTCGAATCTGGGGTCGAAATGCACATCGTTTCGGGTGCTATGATCTTGTGTTGTCTTCCTAGACACTACGACTCCCTGGCAAAGACCATCATCTAGGCTGTTCACATTACCACTTACCAGTAACGCTGCCATCCATGGAGTGAGATGCGTGAACCCATTCATTCGCTGCCGTAAATCATTCAGAAGACGAATTACCATGCGTGTGCTGTGAGAAAGATGCAAGAGAGGAAGAAAATACACGTAGATGCACAGTGATCCCAAGTGGATCAAGAAAATGTGCTGAGAAGAAGAATACATATACATGCATCATACTGAAGTACTTGATTTTACAGCCAGAGAAAGGAAAATCGTATGGCAGAGTGCAACGAAGTTTGTACGATGTAAGAATCTTAGTGTACTAAGGTCACACTTGGCAGGTTTTGTGTGGAGCTTGTGTCCGCTCGAAGGTACGGATTGACTGCAAAACGTGCTATACAGTCAACTTCGCTAATAACGACTGCGGATATAACGACAATTCGCGAATAACGACCGAATTTCCATGCCCAGAGCAAAGTCCCATCTAACTGTACACATTTTACTTCGGATATAAAGACTATCTGAATAACGACAATTCGCGTATAGCGACATGCTTTTAGTGCCCGAGGTCATATTCACTGCCCGAGGTCATATTCACTGCTTGAATAACGACTTTCTGGGCTTTTGACAGCTATTTCACGTACCTGTCAGTCAAGTACATGTACATGTACCTGTCATGCAGAAGTACCAGAACCTATGGTGATGGATATAAAGGCACACATGCAAGAAAATGCAGCCAAGGGGGGGGGGGGCTTTTTCTTCCTTTTTATGTTGGCTTCAAAATTGTTGGATTTACCAGCACACCTACATGTATATGTATACAATGTACATGTAGTTGTACATGATTGTACAGTAATCATCATACATGTACATGTCTCTGGCCCTGTAGATGGATCAAAAAGGCATACTTTTCAATTGATTTCCCTTGCATATTGAATTTTTAGTTCCTTTCAACTGCAATATGAAAATAAAGTACACATTGACATAGAGCAAGAAAAGAGCTTGATTTTGATATGCATGTCATACTATACAAAATATGGGTTCACATACATTCAAATGGGACTTCGGTTATAAGGACACTTCGCGAATAAGGACACTTTTCTGATGCCCCGCCGAATGTCGTTATTGGCGAAGTTGACTGTATGTGTACAAGGTTCATGTCGTATGACCTACAGACAGCAGACCACCTCCACAATACGACCACGAAAGGATGAGATGGTGGGGCGCTCTGGGGGTACTTTACGGTACAAGTATGAAAAAGCTACAGCAGCGGGAGAAGATAATGTTTTGTTTTGAAAGCGGCAAGAACACAAACCCGCGATGAAGTACAGTGCCCAGCACTTGCTTTGCACATGCTTTGTACGAAATGCGTCATGCATCCTGAAAAGGTGATGTCAAAACAAAACATTCGGTAGCAATTCCACCATGGACCAACCCAGCTACAGGGTTGCACACTCTCGTCTTGTTTGTGTACTCTTGATACAAGCATAGGAACACAAGCATCACAGAAGTAGATCCATAGGCATGCACATTCACAGTGACACGTACAGGCACGACTCGACCGTCCCTACTGTACATCAGCAATGATTGACCCACCTGGTATGCGTGATGTGCTCGTCGCACCATCTGGATCGCTCTATTTCCTTCAGCGAATCCTCAATGTCCTTAAGCGGTACTGCACACAGACAATGAACACCAGCCAGTAAGAGTACATGTACATCTAATGCAGGGGATTAGATCCTGTACATCCTACTCACAACAATACTTACTGAGCACAGCACCATTACTATAATACTAGCAGATGATATGACATATTAGATCACATAATTATTATCTGATGATTGCACTGCAGTATTGGCTGGTGCCGACGAAGTTAGGGTTCAGAGTTTAAGCCTAGGCCATTCTTATTTTTCAGATAGAAGTTTCTATGGCTGAGCCACCATGTACATACAGGCAACCTGTGCCTGGTAAAATTCTAGCCTGTTCGTTCTTCGGCACCCAACAGTACTGTAAGGGCCTGAAACTCTGCATCACAACACCATCACCTTGGGCCATTGTTTTATTGTGTGCCAGTACATACATGTAACTACAGTTATCCGTTATATGCATGTACAGGTATAACGTTACGCTGTTATTGTAGCATCGATCATCACAAGCCTGCAAAGCATATACCGGCAGTGCTGGGAGCATTGACATGCGATCGATCTGTTGACTACAACGCCGAGGTGAAGGAGTAGCTCGGGCAGCCGCCGGATCAATGTTTTGCCAAAAAAGTCTATATATAAACCAGACATCGGACTGGATAGGAGTTGAAATCTTGTTGCTGAAACACCGGTACGGTGTCAGTGCAGTATGCCACATGCACAGACTTAGATGCACACAGTAGTCGAAAGGGATCATGCGATTATGTTGTCAGCATTGTGAGAAGGCAGTTTGGTATGCAAGTTTCACACCAGCGCCCATGTGCAGCGAGTAGCAGTACTCAGGGGCCTACCTTGATCGGACTTGGCCCGTTCCAACCAGGATTCCGGTTGATACGCAGCTAAACATTGCACTGTTGACTGGCCACACGACAGGCTGAAACCTGTTGGAAGCAGGGAATGCAAACGTCCAAAGAAGTTGGAATAGTGCAGGATTGCTCAGCAATACTATGTACATTCACAGTGTATGTGCACTGGCAAATTGTACACTACATTGCAGCACAAACAAGTGCAAGAAAGTCCACGCACACACACACACACACACACACACGCACACATGCGCGCGCACACTGGAAAATAGGGTAAACTCAACAGTGTACAGTGCACATCATACAGTGTGACATGACACGGCACAAGCAAGGATAAGGTAAAGATAGAGGCAGCCAATAGTAAATCCTGGCCATAGGGACAGGAGGTGTTAGAGACCTGATTTTCCAATGAGCCCGGCAGAGTGAGGGCGGTGCTCATCTCTTCTCCCTCGCCACCTTTGCCTACCCAGCCAAAGTCAGATACCAGATCTCAAATGAGTCACCTTGGGTTGGAAACAATCTACGCTCAAACTAGGAATCAAACCCATAACCTTTTGTGTGGAAGGCCAGTGCTACAACCACTTTTCCCACCACACCCAAGAAAAGGACAATCAAATTTGTCGTGCATTACAATTCACCAGCCAGGACAAATACATCTATCCGAGCTGAATACAAACTTACTTGACTTGTCGACTTTCGCTGTCACAGTTGTGAACTTTGAGCTGCTTTCTGCAAGATACATAATTGCCCAAAAACACAAATCAGTGAAGACCTGGGAGAATGAAGTTTAAGACACCACTGCAGCTGTACTTATGGTTGATAAATATGGTGGTAAAGACACACCTGGCAATATGGCGGTAAACACACGCCTGCCCACACACGCTCTCCAGGCTGCAAAGTTTGTGTACCACCATATTGCCAGGTGTGTCTTTACCACCATATTAAAAATAATTTTATCAACCAGTGAAGACCTGGTGAAATTATAGTGGGTTATGAGAAGTAAAGCAAACTGTTCGTAATACTTGTTTGGACCCTAGTATTACAGAAGCTGTTGCAATCACTTGAAGAAGTTCCCAACCCCAGCTAACCAGTCTGCCTTCAAAGTTCAGCGTAACAGAGTACGAAACTTATCTCGATCTCTTCACCGTGACTATTTGGCATCTATACAGGCCAGCATGGCGTCAGGTAACCTTAACATGTACCAGTTTGTTCGTTCTCAGCGGAATCGTCAGCAGGATTGTGGCCTTCCTCACCTCATTGATGAAGACGGTCATTCAGTTTCTGGCAGTTTCGACAAGGCTACAGTCCTCAACCAGCAGTTTGCCTCTGTTGCTGTGCCGGATGATCCATCGCCATCACTTCCAGCTCTTCGTGCCCACAGTCAACTTCATGAAACATTTGTTCAGGTCATCACCACAACTGCGGATGTTAGAAAGGCTAAAGTCTCGCCGTAGTCCTGGCTTGGACACTATTACGAATGATGTCCTGAAGAAACTTGCCCCGCCGATATCGTACCCCCTCTGCCGTATTTTTAATGTGTCCTTCTCGACGGGTAAATTTCCAACAGCATGGAAACTCGCGAAGGTTGTTCCGGTTTACAAGAGCAAAGGCTCCAAGTCACAAGCCAGCAATTACCGTCCTATCTCCTTGTTGTCCTGTGTATCGAAACTATGTGAGCGATTATTCTTTGATAACCTCTATGCTCATGTGTCGCCGGCCCTTGCCCCAGTCCAATCTGGTTTTCGACGAGGAGACTCAACCACCATGCAGCTGACACGCCTTGTACAGGACATTGTGGCCCTTCGTCATGACCACCAACATATTGGTATGTGTTTTTTCGACCTTGCAAAGGCGTTGACACGGTATGGTTCCGTGGACTCCTAGCTAAATTATCTGCGATGTACAAGGTTTCTGGAGCGTCTCTGGCGTGGATTACGGACTACCTAACAGATAGAACGCAAGCAGTGTCAGTCGGAGGGGTACTCTCAGACCCACTGCCTGTGAAGTCGGGAGTTCCCCAGGGATCTATACTGGGGCCTCTACTATTCTTGTTGTATATAAACGATCTACCTGACTGCATAGATGGCTTGTCACTATTTGCTGATGACACAGCCCTCATTCAGTTTGACGCTGACAGTGCAAACCTGTGTACGAAGCTTCAGAATGGAATCAATGTTGTTCATAAATGGATGTTGTCATGGCATCTGAAACCCAATATCTTGAAGACAGAAATAGTCTTTCTCCCTCAACTAGACCACCCTCCCACATTTACCCTTCCCGGACTTGATTCGGCTATTAATATTGTAGATACGCACAGGCATTTGGGTGTTGTATTTGCAACAAAGTTAGCAAATCTGTAGGTTGCCTGATGTCTCACTGCTCCCACTTGTCCCCCGAATGTATTCGTCTCTTTTATAAATGCTACCTTCTTCCTATCTTTCTGTACGGCGCCACTGCTTGGCATTCCCTGCTTAGTAAATCTGCTGTACAGACACTAGAAATACATCATAAACGTGTGTTGAAAATTATTTTTCGTAAACCCTCTCTATTCCCCTCTACTGATCTATATAGTTTGGCCTCCACCAGCTCCATCTCTATCCTGTCGCAGAGACAGTCATGCGTTCTGGTCCATCGTATTAAACTGAACATTGTCCCTGAACATCTCAGCAAGCATAATTGGTTTACTTTCGCACGGGACACTCGCAATGGCATAGTACTTCCCAGAGCTTTGTCAACTATGTTTACCAAATCTCCTATCTTTTCTTCATATTCGTATTGGCTCAAGCTGCCCATGGAAATGAAGATAATATCCAATATTAGACAGTTCATAGACCATGTTAAATGTCATGCCACGTTGTAGGCTCGCTCGCCTCTTTTGCTAGCTTATCTCGCCGCTCTCCACCATGGTCAACATGATGAAAAATTTCACCCCACTGATGCATTCTTTTCTTCCGATTATCATATTCTTTCCTTCTTTCTTTCTTTTTCTTCTCTTGCCATGGCTGGCTAACGCCCCCTCCTTTGCATTGGCTTCTGCCATTGGATGGTGAAATAAAAAAATAGGAATAATAATAAATAAAATAAAATAGGAAGTTAAGAATGGCACAGTGCGTTGGAAAAACAGAACTCGCTCCACCACTTCACACTGCACTCTTGAGTCTTGACCAACCCACTCCACCCGCACATCACCATGGCTCAACCATAGCAAGGACAATTCAGATGTGATAACACAGTGAGATGGCAGTGATGTGCAAGTAGCGTGGGTCAGCCAAGAGAGCGCGGCGTGTAAAGTGCCGGAGCAAGCTAAAGTTATGCTTGTATTGCAATCACTATTCACACAATACGACGTAACGTACCTGCATAGTTTTTCTCCAAACCTTCTTTAACTCTGTTACAAATAGAAGTGAGGTCATCCTCTGGATAGATACATAAACAATAGAGAAGGACCCCAGTGGCAAACTGTGCAAGTGATGAAAGCACGCGCATCTACATTGTCCATGCGACCAAACAAACCCCATAAGATGGGCAACATACCAGTGCAATGCAGTCCAATGAAAGCCTTGACACCAATTTCGAGATGGTAGTCATCCTCCTTCAGAACAGGTACAACTGCGGACACAACTACAGATGTGCCTGTGCAAAACCCCATGACCAACGTCGAATTCCTTACTAAATACTATTCAGCTGGAGCGGAAACACGCTGAAAGGCAGGGGCACGGTATGCATAGCTCCAAACAGCCAATGCCAATGACTGACTGCCGATGATGCCTGTCAACTAGCACCTAACGTTACTAGTACACATGGAGCCCCTGGTAGGTTGCCTGAGGATCTTGTACAGTAAAACATGTCAAGGCAAACACCTTGATAAGGCAATCACCTGTCCTAGAGGACCACTACAAACTGGGACCAACGGGTGTTTATTTCGAGTAAAGTGACCCTGGATAAGAAGACCACTTGGGACACGGTGTCCGCATGTGCTGCAAGGTCCCTTGTGCGGTCAGCTTAGACAGATTTTACTCCACTTCAAAAAGTACAAACGTGAAACTCACAGTTGCAGCAGAATTCTCCTCTCTCCTGAAAAGGCAAAGGCAACCCATAGAAGCCAATCCTGACTGTAGGGACAGGAGGTGTTAGGAGGTGTTAGGAGGTGTTAGACACCAGCTGTAGCGGCATCTGCTCTCCTTGTCTCGTACCGTGTTAGAAAAAGCTCTGCGCCGGGCATAGAGCACTCCCCAGGCCAGGCAACCAAGCAACCTAATGACCCTACGCAGTACTTGCTGATGTATTTCCATTTTCCAAACAGCAATGTTATATTCCTAGCACTCACCTGTAGGCCATGCTTTGAACATGATAACAACTTGATACGTCATGTTACCGCGAATAGCAGTGGACATACGATGCGCACCAACAGGCCGTACTTTGTCCACAAACTGTACGCATGAGCAAACAGGCGAAGAAAGATTGCACAAGATCAGTTCAAGCAAGATCAGAATCTCCACTACATGCACAGCAAAGCTCAGCCAGACAGTTCCGTACTGTTAAGCCCCCCCCCCCCCCCCCCCTGTACAATATGTAACTAAGGAAGCGGTCAGATTCCCAGCGACGAAACTTGATTTGTTGTTACTCAGTGCTTCTTGAACAAACCAATCCCCAGGCAAAGCAACACACTAAAGCAGGGCCATGCACACCACTACAAGACATTTTATCTAACTCTAAAGCTAAGGAGTAAGGTGCACCAAGAAGGCACGAGGCTTAAAGTATCGAGAAATAAGGGACGTGCAGAAGGCTTGACAGACATCACGAGCTGTGAACAAGTCAGTTCATACCTAGCAGTAATTATGTACTAGTACAGTCAAAGAGTACATGAAAACCAGAGTGTGCAGCTCTGATGGGTTGCTGTCACGGCGAAATTCCGTGATAACATCATTTTAGTGATGTAGTGCGTACAAGCAGGTCTCTTTCTGCACAACTGCACCTCAGTTGTACGCACTACGCCACTT